TTGATTGGCTGGGAGTCCAGCGACATAGCCATTACGCTAACTGCTGGTTCCTGTTTTATAAATTTTGAAACAATGTGTACAAAGTATAAAAACTTAGGAAAATGGGAGGGTGGGAATCCACATATGGGCCAGCCAGGTAGTGTGATAGTTAAAGTGGCTGGGTCCCACATGGCTGACTGCGAGGCTTGAGTCTCAGACCAGGTAGCTTGAAAAGCACGTCGGGCACATGTGTGTATGTGCCCAAAATTCTGAGAGGAGAATGGAGGAGAAGGGATTGTGATGTGGTCAGACATCCTGCAGCATGCTCTCTCTTTCTCTCTCTGGTGAGTGCATACACCCTATAGAATACACACACACACACAATCCACATGTAAATCTATTATAAAGACATAACCACAGTAAACATTTATGCCTGCTCAAGTCTGTGTGAGTGTGTGTGTGTGTATGTATGTGTGTGTGTGTGTACAGGGAGGAGGGTTCTTTCTCCTTAAAAAAAATTCATTGTTGTGATAATGAGCCATTTTTCACTTAACAATATCAAGTGAACATTTGTCCAAGAGAGGGAATAGTTTCCTTCAACTTGATTGTTAACAGCTGTGTGGTACTCCATTGAACAGATGTGGCTCACACCCTATTCTTGCTCCTTGCCAACTGTGGGCTTTCTCTGCCTTCTGGACAAGATGAGAATAACAATGAAATCAACCACATAGATTTTGTGCGTTGTATCATTGAACCCCTGCCACCACCTCACACAGGACTCTGAGCAGCATGCTTGGCATACTGTGAAGAGCAGATAACTGTTTTATCTTTTTCTTTTTTAGTGTTTTAATCACCAGCGGGTACGTGCTCTTGCTAGAGACAGAAAGTAAGAGGGAGAAAGTATTTCCTGGCACGGTGTGGTCACACCATAATCTCTTCTCCCTTTCTCCATCCTGTTGGGATTTGAGGCACACATGCACATATGCCCAGAGTGTTTTATAAGTTGCCAGGGCTGAGATTCGAACTGTAGTCATCTATGTAGAATCCACCTCCCTAACCACTTGGCCACAAGGCTGGCCCCTGTTATTGCTTCTCACTGTGGGACATTTAGGCTTCAGATTTAGGATAAGCTTACACTGCAGTCACCATCTGGGATCTTGGCAGGCATCTCTGATCATTTCCATGGAGAAATTCCCTGTTAGATGCAGATGTCCCTCTTTGGTGCCCCTGGCACAAAACTTATCACCCAGTACTGTTAGCAGGGGCATATCTGTCAGCCACCCCCAAGATACACTCTGTGTACCTTCTTGTGAAAGCAGGGACCCTGTGTTGTGATGTGAGACCCTCAGCCTGGCAGCGAATGCTTGGCAAATGTTTGGCTGGTGCATGAATGAGTGAAAAGGTTGTGCCTGTGCGAGTGGGAGGACAGGCTTTCTTGACTTGGCTCAGGATTGTTTGGGCACTTTGAACCTACAAACCACGGTCGACTACGTGGGAGTCCAGCGACATAGCCATTACGCTAACTGCTGGTTCCTGTTTTTTAAATTTTGAAACAATGTGTGCTAAGTGTAAAAACTTAGGAAAATGGGAGGGTGGGAATCCACATATGGGCCAGCCAGGTAGTGTGATAGTTAAAGTGGCTGGGTCCCACATGGCTGACTGCGAGGCTTGAGTCTCAGACCAGGTAGCTTGAAAAGCACGTCGGGCACATGTGTGTATGTGCCCAAAATTCTGAGAGGAGAATGGAGGAGAAGGGATTGTGATGTGGTCAGACATCCTGCAGCATGCTCTCTCTTTCTCTCTCTGGTGAGTGCATACACCCTATAGAATACACACACACACACAATCCACATGTAAATCTATTATAAAGACATAACCACAGTAAACATTTATGCCTGCTCAAGTCTGTGTGAGTGTGTGTGTGTGTGTATGTATGTGTGTGTGTGTGTACAGGGAGGAGGGTTCTTTCTCCTTAAAAACAATTCATTGTTGTGATAATGAGCCATTTTTCACTTAACAATATCAAGTGAACATTTGTCCAAGAGAGGGAATAGTTTCCTTCAACTTGATTGTTAACAGCTGTGTGGTACTCCATTGAACAGATGTGGCTCACACCCTATTCTTGCTCCTTGCCAACTGTGGGCTTTCTCTGCCTTCTGGACAAGATGAGAATAACAATGAAATCAACCACATAGATTTTGTGCGTTGTATCATTGAACCCCTGCCACCACCTCACACAGGACTCTGAGCAGCATGCTTGGCATACTGTGAAGAGCAGATAACTGTTTTATCTTTTTCTTTTTTAGTGTTTTAATCACCAGCGGGTACGTGCTCTTGCTAGAGACAGAAAGTAAGAGGGAGAAAGTATTTCCTGGCACGGTGTGGTCACACCATAATCTCTTCTCCCTTTCTCCATCCTGTTGGGATTTGAGGCACACATGCACATATGCCCAGAGTGTTTTATAAGTTGCCAGGGCTGAGATTCGAACTGTAGTCATCTATGTAGAATCCACCTCCCTAACCACTTGGCCACAAGGCTGGCCCCTGTTATTGCTTCTCACTGTGGGACATTTAGGCTTCAGATTTAGGATAAGCTTACACTGCAGTCACCATCTGGGATCTTGGCAGGCATCTCTGATCATTTCCATGGAGAAATTCCCTGTTAGATGCAGATGTCCCTCTTTGGTGCCCCTGGCACAAAACTTATCACCCAGTACTGTTAGCAGGGGCATATCTGTCAGCCACCCCCAAGATACACTCTGTGTACCTTCTTGTGAAAGCAGGGACCCTGTGTTGTGATGTGAGACCCTCAGCCTGGCAGCGAATGCTTGGCAAATGTTTGGCTGGTGCATGAATGAGTGAAAAGGTTGTGCCTGTGCGAGTGGGAGGACAGGCTTTCTTGACTTGGCTCAGGATTGTTTGGGCACTTTGAACCTGTGGCTGTTACAGATTGTTATTGCTTTCATTTTTTTCATTCATTTTTTCCACCATATGTGTTATCTACTGCTGTGTAATAAATCACCCCAAAACTTAGCGACTTAAAACAACAAATATTTATTGTCTTGTAATGTTTGTAAGGGTCAGGAATTTGGGAGTAGCTTAGCTGGGTGGTTCTGGCTCAGATCTCTCAAGATTTCAGTCAAATTGTCAGACATACTCATATGACTGTCAGCAGGGCTCTCAGTTCCTTGCCACGTGGACTCACCACAGGGGTGTTCACAGGGGGACAGCTGACTTTCACCAGACCAAGTGATCAGAGAAAGAGGCACCAAGATGGAAGCTGCAGTATCTTTTTTGAAAACATTTTTTTTTAAAGATGGACTGGTTTCATG